AATTAGATTTATAGTATAAATTATTTTTGCTGAAAATTCTAATTCTTTGTGGATTTCAGAAGTCACACTGGAGACATCCGACATTATCAAATTAAGAAAAACCACTTGGGACAATATTATGTAGCAGAAAAATATCTCTTCTCATCTGTTCCTGACCTCATCCAGTATCATCAACACAATGCTGCAGGTAATGCATGTAAGCGGATAAGGTTATATAACTGATGATCTGAAGCTCCTCAGGACTTTGAGAGGCTGGAAATCACTCTTCCTCTAATACTTTCCTTATAAAAAGAGAAACATAGTTTTTCTATTGCTAACAAATTCAAATACACCATGACCCTTTCTGCCAAAGTCGTAGCTGCAGTCTGCATATACCATGGGGGAAGTGAAGCTACCAAACTCATCTACATTAATTAAATGAATTTTACAAAGCTAGAAGCCTAATGTGTTTACCTGCTCTGTATTCACTTCATTCATATTTGACTGAATGTGACTTGTATGAACTTTGATCATAATTCTTTCCTTGTCCACAACGCAGTGATTTGCCTGCATACAATTTAAGAAAAGCAGGAGATATGCTATGCATCAGCAGGCAGCATTTTACTGATTTTGGCAACTTACCCACCAAAAAAACCTGTCGTGGTTTAACCCCAGCCAAGAGCTCAGCCCCACGCAGCCGCTCGCTCACGTCCCCCGGTGGGACGTGGGAGAGAATCAGAAGAGTAAAAGTGAGAAAACTCGTGGGTTGAGATAAAGACAGTTTAACAGGTAAAGCAAAAGCCGTGCACGCAAGCAGACCAGAACAAGGAATCCATTCACTGCTTCCCATGGGCAGGCAGGGGTTCAGCCATCCCCAGGGAAGCAGGGCTGCATCATGCGTAATGATGCATTGGGAAGACAGACGCCGTAACTCCAAATGCTCCCCCCCCTTCATGCTTCTTCCCGCAGCTTTATATGCTGAGCGTGATGTCATATGGCATGGAATATCCCTTTGGTCAGCTGGGGTCAGCTGTCCCGGCTGTGTCCCCTCCCAGCATCTTATGCACCCCCAACCTCTTCCCTGGTGAGGTGGGGTGAGAAGAAGAAAAGACCTTGACTGTGTGTAAGCACTGCTCAGCAGTAACTAAAACATCCCTGTGTTATCAACACTGTTTTCAGCACAAATCCAAAGCAACCCCATACTAGCTACTACGTAGAAAATTCTCTTTATCCCGGCCAAAACCAGCACACCACCTCACAAACAATCAAAAGCAGAATTAGGGAGCACAAGGACTCTGATACTGATTTGCAGCCTGCCAGAGTCAGCCACCTCTAATTGTTGGTTGACAGCTGCCTTTTACAATTTTTAGCATTAAAACATGCTCTTCATCTTGGTTCTGCCCATCATTTTAATACAATATAAAATGTTTTCACCCTGAATGAGTGGAGATGGGAAAACACACTACTCGTGAGGAAGGAAGGTGCAGGAATAGACAGAACCTTTTGCGTGAGGGAGGGGAATTGTAGGGAATCCATGAAGTCGAAAAGGACCTGAAAATAACAGGGGAAAGAATGAATGAATGCAAGGAGTCCTTGGTGAGGGATGTACTCACTGGTACTGTTGGCTCATGAATTGAAAGAAAATTGATGACAAACACAAAATATTTCTTGCATTGGGAAACAATCCTGAGAAATCATGTTGGAAGAGACCACCTAGGTGGGTGATGTAGTATTGTAGTGCTTATGTAGTATTATTTAAGATTACTAACATCATACAAATAAGCAAGAGTGTCACTTTTGTTTGCGTGGAAGTATAAATACTTCTGTAGCCAGGGCCCTATTGAATAGCCTTCCTCCATTTCTTTTCACTGTAGTGCTTTATCTGAACAAACTGTAAGAAAAAGTGACTTCAAGAAATAAGAAATGTAAATCAGATTCCAAATATTTTTGTTTGAGAAGAGGTACAACGTAGTGTACTTTAAATCAGAATAATTGGTCAACAGAATATTGTTGCTTTGTCCCCTATAGGTCTTATCACTCGCCTCCGACATCCAGTTGGATCAATTGCATGTTCTTCACCAGCAACAGCAGGATTTAGTTATGGTAATTTTTTAAAATTTTTGTTTTCGTAAAGATTTGGTATCTCTCTAGGCAAGTATTTAGATTACATTCACCCAGCTAATAATTAAGTTGTATCTGTAAAATTTCCCAGTAACAGGAAACACATAAACAGCTGCATATTCACCACAGATAGTCATTTCCTGGTAAGGCATCAGAACCAAATAAGACACCTCACTTGAGTCCTTCTGTTCAGCGACTGTTGCGCTTCTCTTACAACCACTCATGCATTTCAGAGCTATCTGGACTTTTTTAAGCAGGCCTAAGACTCAAATATACATTTAATAGCTTTTCAAAGGCTATTTGATTTATTGAAATGCTTAGGAAATTGAAATTAATATTATTTATGGGGAAGATTTTCTTTGTCAGTTCTGCAAGTTTTAGAAATAAGAATGGAATCTTGTACAGTATTAGAAAACAGTAAATGCCAGTTTTGTGTATATATAGATCAGGAAGTTAATATTATCTGGCTGATTATAGGAACCTCCAAAATCACCTATCTTCCCTGTATATGTTCCCATGAATCTCAAGGTTTAGTATTTCTGAAGGGCAGAACTGTTGTGGTTATTACAGTAGAGGCAGCCAGTCACTATTTCTGTAGCAATACTACCCATCCGGGACCGGTTCGGTTAAAAACATCACATACAATAATGCCAAAAGAGTTCTCATATGTAATCAAAGCCAAACAGTTGCCTTATCTTCAAGCCTCAGACATTCCTACATGAAGCAATTTAAACACTAATCACATTCTACAAGCTGTAAACATTCACATGTAAACAAGCATGTGGAAATTTTCAGATATTTTTAAACTCATGCTATAGCTGATGAACAATTGCGATGTTTTGCTCCGTGCATTAACTGCAAACGGCAAGGCATGTCTCCTGGAGCACGGCTCAGGAAAGCCGACCTGACTTCTGTAACATATTGGGTTGCTTTTATAGAGGAGTGGGAATTAAACCCATCTGAACTGACATTCATGAAAGAACTTGGGCGCGGGCAGTTTGGAGTTGTTCAGCTTGGTAAATGGAAAGCAACCATCAAGGTTGCCATCAAAACAATCAATGAAGGTGCAATGTCTGAAGATGATTTCATCGAGGAAGCCAAAGTGATGATGTAAGTACCAAAGCTATTATATTCAATAGTTGGCACTGAGGTGGCCAAGAAATGAATAGAACTTAATTCCATTTAAAACAAACAGACAATACCAGTTTGATGGGAATGGTGGACGTGCAGGACAGAAGATACAAAGATCTGAATCTGACTGCAGCAAATGTTTGTCGCGCCCATTGCCAGAATCTTTCTTTAGAGGATGCACTGCTTTGCGCTGTGGAGCTTAGTGTGGAATAAATGTGTTGATAAATGTGCTCCTACAACTATTCTTTTATCCATAATTCAGTGCCTCTAGGACCACTGGTAGAGCTCATACCTAACTGAAGCTTTTGAGAAACTATCTTACCATTTCTGCTAATTTTGCAAATTACGGAATTATCCAGACTAGGTCTTGGCACGGCCCAGAAAAGAACAACCCTTGCAGGATCATGTTCCCTTTCTGAAAGCAAGGCATAACTAGACCTTTCCATTTCACATCATCCAAATCAAGCTTTCCACTCACTGCAGTTATATAACTCATGAACAACTATGAATTCAAAGAGCAAACTTTTTGGAGGAAATTGTAGGCAGAAATGTGTTAGATAGCGGGAAAACTCTGAGGCCAGTTGAAACCAAAAAATTTCATCAAGTACTGAAAGTATTTTTCAAAATTATCATGAGTCAAAAGTCTAGTTACCCTCCAAGGAAAAATGATAGCCTGTCTAAATTGTGTTTTTAAACAGGAAACTCTCCCACCCAAAGCTGGTCCAGCTTTACGGAGTGTGCACACACCACAAGCCTCTCTACGTTGTGACTGAATTCATGGAAAATGGCTGCTTGCTCAACTACCTTCGGCAAAGGCAAGGGAAACTCAGCAGAGACATGCTGTTGAGCATGTGCCAGGATGTGTGCGAAGGGATGGAATACCTGGAAAGAAATAGCTTTATTCACCGTGATTTAGTAAGTACAATAGGTTTTATGAGGTTCTTGGTAAATATTGGCAGTATAGAACATGCCAGTGCATTTTATAGGGCACTAATGTGTCCTGTAAGACTTCAGTCCTGCACTATCTAATAAGCCAACAGTGTATTTCTGGCTGTAAACCAAAACTTTTCAGCTGTTCTGTTCTCCATGGAGAGCTGGAAAAACTACTGATAATTGAGAGAAGTCAGGGAAAATTTGGATATCAGCATGGAGCAGGCTGGTGTTAAGACATGCCAACACAAGACTATCATGCAGTGATTACAACACAACCAAAATCACAGCAGTAGAAAAGGTCAGCAACAATGAGGATATTTTTTTTAACAATATCTTTTTCTATCTACATTTTTTCTGGTCCTTACTGCTGGGGTGTATGGGTGGCTTTTCTGTCTTACCCCTCATAGACAGGGAACCATAGGAGAAGAGCTTATTTCTTTACTCTCTGCTTTTATTTTCCCCCCCAATGCTCACTGAGTATTGAAATTCCTCCCTGGATGCAGAGAGGAAATCTTCTTGCTCTCCTCCCTAGCTGCTTGAAGAAATGTAAAATCTTGAAAATTTCCAAGCAGCTCCTTACTTCTGCAGTTAAAAACTCACAAAAATATTTTTTAAAATTCACACTGAATGTCCTAATGCTAGTGTTTGGGAAAATATCTGCTTGGATAACTAGCCTCTGCAGCCTAAAATTTCTTTTACCACACAGGAATATGTAAAAATCTTGCAACTCATACTACAAGCATTTAAGCTGATAAAGGCTATGTATGTATAACTACACAGTAGCGAAACATATTCACCCACTCAGAGCCAAAGCCTCACTTATATTTTTGAGCAGGAAACAAAAACAATCATCTGTTGTATTTTTCTTAAAATGCTTTAGCACAGATCTCAGACGCGTTTCTCTCATTTTTCCCCAGGCTGCAAGAAACTGTTTAGTCAACGCTGAGCACATCGTCAAAGTATCCGACTTTGGGATGGCGAGGTACGAGGCCGTTGAGGCAGGTTTAGCGAGTACCCGTTCTCAGTCAGCTGCAGCGTGACCTTGAGTTGACCTCATTGCTTGCTTTGCTGATTTGGGGAATCCTGCTGCAGTCAATTTTTGAATTCTGATGGAAATTATGATGTTGTTTAACTCTTGTGCCACGAACTGGATGTTGTGTCCTCCCCGTGCTATTGATGAGCGTAAGACACGTAAACAAAGTGCCTGGCGAGCTTCAGAAGTAGTTGACGGACAGAGGAGCGCCCAGCGCGCACAGGGCTGCCAGAAGCTTGAAGAAACGAGTTCCCCAGCCTTTCTGAGCAGCGGGGAGGGCAGAAAGTCCCTAGGGACAGATCCGGGCGCCGGCGCTGACCTTTAGAGGCGGTGGCGGCAGCGGAGTAGGCCAGGCCGGAGGCAGGGAGGACCGGCAGGGCGGGCAGGAAGCGTGCTGTGCGCTGCTGTAGCGGGGAAGTGGTTTTTCTGCTTAATGAGAGGACCAGCCAGATACGGAGAAAGCAAGCAACATGCACTCTGGCAAGCACGGGCCGGAGAAACGTAGCTCTGCCCTCACAGACTTCCCCCAGAGGATGTGCTGTATTTTATACCTGAGCTGGCCGAATGACCGGCTGCCACCCAAAAGGGTTGTCTCCTTCCTTCTTTCCCCTTGCAAGCCCAGCACCAAGCTCTCTCCTTCTCTGCTTTACCATCTGTATTTTTTTTCTTCTGGATTAGTAGGCTGAATCGGCTCCCCTTTGAGGGCGAAAGGCAGCGCGTGGCTCTGAGTGGGAGGCGGGGGTGACACTCACCTTGCGGCTGCAAGTCGTCAGGTCAGCAGAGCCATGCTGCTTGCCTTTCCCTCCGGTTTCGCCTCCTATTTCTAACCGAAGGATTACAACACCCCAGCAGTTCGTAGCTAAATACTTGTTTTCCAAAAGGCCGTCCTATACCACGGCAGTGCCGGCTGGTTGCACTGCTCCCCAAAGGGGTAAGGTCAGTATCGGGGGTTTGGACTCATCCAAATGCACCGGAAAACAGAGTAAGAGACCAAAGGGCCGTCAGGGTCCCGTCTGAGAATAATGGAGGGAGGCCAGTGGTGTGGCTCTAGGACACGGCACTCGCTCTCCTGGGGAGACCATGGAGAGGTGACGGGAACTCAATTTAATTATTCACACAACTGCCACTACTTATTTTGTACTGTTGTATTTCGTAAGTTCCAATCCAGTAACCTCTCATCTTTCTATGCCTGCGCCAAAATAAGAAAGGCAGACAAAGAGACGATTTCTCCCAATGCGACCTCCTTTAAAAGGAGCTTTAAAAGGTGCCAATGCCTTATGCCTTCCGTGAGAACAAATGCACATCTGTCATCTGCTCAGGAACGGTAATGCTGCGAAAATGTGTACAGAGCTTCTGTGTATGTAGAAGTCAGTCTAGTGGCCTTTCAGAATGTTGCCCTATAAGTGCCTGCACTGGGCACATCATTTCGTCTTATCTGGGAGGTCAGCTCCTATAAGCTTGGGCAAAGAAAATTACTTTTTCCAGTGCACCTGCAAGAGCTGTTGCCTCATATGTGATGAACATTTCTTTCTGCAACAACGTGCCAGAAATTACATCTGTGAAGTTGGGCAGTTACAAAGTGTAGCCCTCTGCCAGTAGTGTTGGGGTACAAGTGGTTGAAAGGGTGGACTCTTTTTTTAAAGAGAGACAGTAATTATTGCTGCTGGTTTTCCTTCCCATGGTGAAGGGATGTGTCCTATCAATACATACGCAGAAGATGACGATGACAGTCTTACAGATGGTAGTAAAATGTTTTATTCTGACACACTTCTCACGAACACTTCAAATAATTTATTTAAACAGAAACTTCTTTAAGTGTATAACTTACAGTGTGGGTATCTGTGTGCATTTTGTACTAAATTAGTGATACAATTTCCTTGTTTCTAAACTGCCACTGTGTTTTTATGGAATTACAAACCATCTGTGGAAATGTTGCCATAACTGCTTGCCCTTCAACTATGACTCAAATATATGCCGTTTCCTGTTATTCTTTAGGTATGTCATCGATGACGAATATATCAGCTCTTCAGGTGCCAAGTTTCCAATCAAATGGTCATCTCCTGAAGTCTTTCATTTCAAAAAATACAGCAGCAAGTCAGATGTCTGGTCATTTGGTGAGTTGATTAGATGAATGTGCAACATACCGTGCTTCCCTAAAACTACTGATGCGATTTAGGAAAGTGTGACTTTTTACTCATGCTACCTATCTTAAGTTTTAGTCCTTCCCATTTTTCAAATCTTGCCTATATTTGACAAGTATGTTTTTCAATAGAAAGGCTCTGCGCCTAAAACTTAGATTTTGACTGAAATGTGCATTCTTGGTTCATCCCCATTAGCCGAATGTATATTCATTTCAGTTTCACGGACCACCACCTTAGCTGACTTAAAAGAGAGCAGAATTATATTAGTTGAAAATGTTTTTGGCTGTGTCTCTTCCTTCAGCTCAGGGTGCCCATATTTTCGTGCATTTTTCAATACACAAAGAATCAAGTGTGGGTTTTGTTCTTCTAATGTTAAACAGCTTGTGGGTTTGGGGTTTTTGTTTTGTCCTAAATATTTCGGTTCACTTCTAGGCGTACTGATGTGGGAAGTTTTCACAGAAGGCAAAATGCCCTTTGAAAGGAAGTCAAATTCTGAAGTTGTCCGTGAGATTTCTCAGGGTAACCGACTTTATCGACCACATTTGGCATCGCATACTGTGTACAAAGTCATGTACAGCTGCTGGCACGAGGTTTGTTGCCCTTTTTCTCCTGCGGCATTACTTTATTGTTATTTTGTAATGTGGATCTAAAAGCCATCTTAAAAAATTGAGGCATTAAATCCTTATTTCGTATCTGTGGCATCCTCGGTATCTCTCACTATGCTTTTCACAAATCACACCTAGGTTTACAAACCTCTGTTTCTTTTGACTGTTGCACCTAGTAAATATAACGCACATCATCAGTACAATAGGTCTAGACCATCCCTGGTTTTGAACGTGCCCCTGTTGTCCCACTTCTCTACTGCATCAAGTGTATTACCTTTTTCATGCCTCCATATTATGCATAGCTTTCTCTAGCTCTCCTCTGAAAGATAAACTTAACACATTCATATACAAAGTGTGTATGCCCACTAAATGAGGATTTTAAACCCTGATTTTCAGGTGTACATCAGTACCCCTGTACATCACTACAGCTGCTAGGCTGCACTCTGATTTAGTACTCGATGTTCTTTCTCCACTTCTCCAGCATCTATTTCTTTCTACACTGGTATCAAAACATTGATTTCGCCAGCTTCTCCATCTGAATAATCCTTTAAGCTCCCTCCTTCTCTAGTGGTCTACAGGAAATGAATCTTTAATTTTAGATAAAAAGTGCTTTCAGAAGAGCTTTATGTGCAATGCTTTCACATGAATAGGCAGGCGTACACTGAGAGTAGCTGGGGAACCTTGTTGCTACCATTGTTTCCTTGATCCTGCCTCTCCTTCCTTGCCCATCTTTTAACTCTATATGAAATTTTAGACCCTGAGTAAAAAAAAAGCTTAAGAGACTGAAATAAATATAAACTGAATCTAGCTTGCTTTCCTACTGCAAACATCCATCGGGATGCCAGCCAGCAGAGAGAAGATGGGCAAGAAGTTCTCTCTTCTCCTGTCTTCCATCACCCAGGCGTTTGTTCCATGCTGAGCTGTAGTACATCAGATGATAAAACGGTGAAGATCCTTTTTCAACAGCCCAGAAAACATTCCTGAGTATTGTGGTTTCATGAGAGGTAGTGCTTTCTAGTGACCTGTTGCAGGGGAGAAATCTTATAGGAATTCAGGTCCAGAATTGAAATAAATATAAAGAAATCTTAGGAACACTTGGAAAAGTGGCTGTGCTCACACTGCTGGTGTCATGTAGAGTTTTTTTCCCCCTCAAATGATAAACTTGATCTTTTCTTCTGTATTAATAAAATAAAATGTAATTTTTGAGTGATAGCTCATATGTACTTGTAATCATCTTCTGAAGTCTGGTAGTATGATTGATCGATCTGCTGATATAAATTAATCCTCTGCTTTTCTTTTCAGAAACCTGAAGGACGTCCTACTTTTGCAGAGTTAATAGAGACCCTCACAGATATAACAGAGATGGGGTAATTTGAGATATTACAGGAGTGTATTTGAAAGGTTAGCATTAGGCATGTCAATGTAGCTGATGCAGAAACCCTCAGCCTTTTACAGCTGTCTCCACTTAAACTGCAGTATCAGCATCCTACACATTGAGGTTTGGCCTGATTTTTACTCTTTTGAGAAAGATACCTCAAGAGACTGGTTTGGGACTCTCAAGGCTTTGTTTTCATGATTAGGGAGAAAAATCTGTCTGGGAAGAAGTAACCAGGCTTACTCACCTTATAGGCCTTTTTTTTTTTTTTTTTTCTTTGCCAGAGCTACACTAATTCCTGTAAAAATATTATGAAATTATTTGGTACTTAGTATGACTTGTGCACTGGGGAATGCTGACCGGCAGCAGCAAAAATGATGGAAGAACCTCTGACAAAGCTCTAGCTAGGTCATGTCGAAAGGCAAGCCCTTTTGCTGCAAAGCATCCAGCACTGAAGGAACGGAGCGGTGTTTCGGAAGGGGCTGCAAGCCAACTGCCAACCGCCCAAGCAGCACCCACCGCTGTGGATTAAGGCGGGTAAAGGGAGCCGTCACCTCTTAGCAGTTCCCAAGCCGCATCTGAGCAGCTGGAAGACTTGAGCACCCCTGAAGCGTCTTAAACCTGCGTCGCAGGTCAAGGCGCCTTCTCCACTAGTTCTGTGTGAAAGAAGGAGAGTAAGGATTATCTTATCCGAACCTCTCCCTGAATCTTCCAGTATTGTCTCCCACTCCTCACTTGCTGCTGCCTACTCAAACGCCCACACTTGCCTTAGTCCTCCCCTTGTAAGTGCCCGGAATGGTTAATGGACAGGTTAAAGCTGGAACCTGACAGTAAAAAAAAATGCTTTGAATTAGTCTAACTCAGATGGATCCTGCGACACCTGACATGGACCATGTCTGTAGCCCTACTTGTTATTATTCGCTTTTAATTTTAAATCTTAATATAATATAGAAAAGGCAGATGAAGTTAATAATTGTTTAATATAGAATAGAGTCAGACCATTACAAATAAACAGTTTTTTTAAAAATATGTGATTGCATTGTGAATTATTTATGGGTAAATACATCATAATATTTCATTTCATAGCACCTTGTAGACAAAATACGTAAAACTCACTAGCTGAAGAATGATTGAGTTCTGCACAACTTAATTTTTCTTTTTCAAATTTAAAAAATAACTGCAACAATAAAATTAAATATATCGATCATCCCAAGTTTTGAATTTCCAGAAGATGATGGCATCTCTGGGTCACATCCATTCCTGGCATTAATCACTCACCTTTACTGCAATAGTATTTTGATAGTTATCATCCCTTGGGAAAGGAAGTTCTTAATCCTATTGGTTGAACATTTGGGAGTACCTTCAAACACACTTTTAAGGCATTTCTGCTTGAAATGATATCCCTATCGTTTCATATAATCTGCTAGAAGAATTGCCACTGTTTACTTTTATAATTGACGCATTTATGAGCATTCAGTTCTTTATCAGACCTACGACTAAATGCAGATCTACACGACACAGTACCACACATTATGCTCGCCACAACTTAACGCCCAGGCCACGGAAGTACAAGGCTTTTCTGCAGATGATGTACTACAAATGCGAAATTCAAACTGTCTCCTCAATATAAAAGTACACGGAGGCTTTGAATAATGTATGAGGCATCTTTTTTCATAGCTCCTGTAAAACTGGTTTTGCCGCTTTTATTGCGGCAAGTTAATATGTAATACACTACAGTACCGTGTAATAAAAAGCTCCGGTAGGTTTATGTACTCAAAGTGCTCATGCTCGTTTCACTGAGCTGTCCCATGGTGAATATGCATCCACCTTGAAACACGTTGATCTAATACACAGAACCAATAATGCTCGTCTACCGAGCCTTCAGCTTCTCAATATAATCTTCCTGTAGGCTGCTTTGGGAAAATTATGAGTAGGCTGCTATTACGGCTCTGACGTGGATAAATTTAACAGCTGCTATCATCAGGCTGACAGCAAATAAAAGAAAAAGCACCAGACCATGCTTCAGAGTCAGTGAAACCAGGGCTTAATCAGCACCAAGAAAGGTCTACAGGACAAAGGTCGGGTATCTACAGTGTATTTACTTACCCGAACAGCTACACCCATAAACAAAGACTAAGTAGGTCACCTTAGTCCTCGCAGTGTCTCTGAGCTTAACTCAAACTCTAACCGTATTCAACCAGGCAAAAACGAAAGTACTTAGACGGGTGAAGAGTGAATGCTACCCACATCACTGACCATACAAAGGCATGTGTAGGCAAACGGAAGTTTTTTAACTGTTTTTTAAAAAAACCTTTGTGTGATAAAAGAGAGACCTGGAAGAGCAGTAAAGGTTAGAAGGAGACACTACACCACCCTCATACAGCCAACGTCTAGTCAAAGGCTGTATGACTGTTGAGCGGTTGTAAAAATTTGGTTGATGTTTCCTGATCAAACATCAGAAAACTTGCAGCAAGTCAGTATTATGGAAAAAAGGGCAGAATTCCCAGCCTCTGTGCACCAGCTGCTTAGGATATATCTCTTTTCTATAAAAAAGCTCCACTCTTTGCAAACTGGGATGTATTTTCAGCAAATTAAATTACTTCCCTCATCAAAAGTATTCCTGATGAGCTGGTGATGTTTGTCCCCAGTGCCATTTGGTTTTCAGACCAACTATTTTTACCCCTCTTATAAAGTTTCACAAACAGGGAGTCCCTGCAGACGCACCAACGCACACCACCAGGCTCCGCTCCTGCCTCACACACCACCGGCCTGGCTCCTGCTCAGCCTCCCCATCCTGTCCTGGACCTCGTCGCCACTTTAAAACCTGCCAGAAAAGAGTCAGCTACGGGAAACCCACGCTGCTGAAAGAGCATTTTCTAACCCACCTGCCAGTTTTGTTTTGCTGGAATTTAAACAGTAAGAGAATGGTGTTTGCTAGGAGTATGTAATTCCCCATATAGCTCCAGGACACAACCGTGATGAGGTTGAAGATTTGACTCAATACTCTTTGGGATGAAAATTTTTTATAGCATGGCTTGTTTTAAGTGTGGCTAGGAAGGCGGGTAAAGGAAGATGGTAGAACAGGTTTCTATAGAAAATAATAACCTATGTACACCCTTCCAAATTCCCTGCAGATTATTTAGCCTATCCAAGTCTTCTTGACCTCCCTACATTTAATCAGCACAGCTATGTAATGAATTTAATTGCCCATTAATTTGTCCTGGGGTATGGTAGTAATGAGTAGCTGCCAAGATTTGTTTTGTATCAGCATTTAAAAGGCATAATTTGGTTAGCAATGCATTGCCTCTGAGGTTTTCTTTGTCCTAGTTCTTAACCATTCCCTCTACTTTCTAAACCACTTAAAATTACCTTAGATAATATCTTTCATTTCACTGCCTGGAAAACCTGACAACTCACTGAAATACTCTCCATTGAGAATGGCCATGAGAAAGAGCTCCCTAAGACATCAGCTTTGGGTTTATTCCCTAGATTAGAAGGGAAGGCATTTTCACTTGCCTGTTATTTTTGTCCCTTACAATCAATGCCTTTTGACCACTAATCATCAGCATGAAATGTCCTTGCTGATGCTTTCTACAGAACACCAGGGTAAGAATAGCACATCTGGACAAATTATGTAATTCTGTAGGAGAAGCTAAAACCTCTTGATCTCCCCATACTCTTCCCTCCAGTTCCATCACAACATTACAGACTTTTTAGCTCAAGGTGAATAGTTTCACACATGGCTTTTCTAGGGCAGTAGAAAGTTTTCTTTCCCATCAGAAAATCTAGTAAAAGTCAAAGCTACTAAAAGGCGGCCATGACCAAAAGAAGGTCAGATGCACGTGAACTGCAAGGACATCAGCCAGATCTTCTTCACCTAAAATCCACTTCTGTGTGCACAGGACCAGCTGCTAAAACCAAGATTATTTGCTTTGCATCTGTCAGATAGGTAGTGTTTAAATGCTTAGCAGGAATATGAGTTACACTCCATTTTATCCCTTGTTCAAAAAACACAAATCATTTAGTACATTATGCGTTAATAATTTATTACAAGAGAAATGTTAGCATAACTTCACTAAAAATTTAAATTCTTCCAAATTAATTACTAAATATAAACATTTTCAAAAATAACATCTCGTATGGCAAATGTTTTTTATACAAAAAGATAATCAATAATTTACCTCTTAACATTATAGACTTCCTGTACACCATGAAAAAAAGCACTAACTGATTTTCTGATACTGTAAGAAAATAACATTATTTTCCTAGTAGATGTTATTTATGTATAAAAGTAGATATGCAGGTCCAGTAGGAAGTACAGAATTCTTGCTTGGTGCAAGTTAATTGACTGCCAGGACTTGGTATAAAAAGGGCCTAGACTAGGTATAAAAAGAGTCCAGACCTTTATCAAAGAAAGTATTACTACATATCTTTAAAAATGCCAACACACATCCATTCAAGAATTGGACTTGTTACTTTTGGTATAAATAACCCATTTGGTCACACCACAGTGATGACTCTATAAGCAACTAGAGGGGCTACTACCTATGCAGAAGGATTTCTTTTTTTCTTTTTAGGGTCAATCAATATTTTCTTCAATTATTCTTGAAATCTGTACAAATAACTCACAGTGAAAAGCAATGCAAGTTTTTGTTAAAAGGCAAACTGTAAAGAAAACTCCAGCTTTAGTCTTTTTATTATTTGTATTATCTGTTTTTAACTATAAAGATTTTGTAATTTGAATCTGGCCAATAAAGCCAAAGTATTCTTTATGTTACGTAAGTAGTAATGAAACTGTTTATATATTTTCTTCTCTGAAGATTTTTTTAACACGTGCATTTTAACAGCAAAGAATTGCTGCAAGTCTTAACACTTGGGAAGCTGAAAAACATTCCAAAGCTGTATACATTGTCATTGTCTTTCCAAGGCAAGTGCATTTTTTGTGAAAATGTCTCTTTTGCTGTAGTAACATTGCTACCACCTTCTGCACTATTCA